ACACACACACACACACAATGGAATACTGCTCAGCCATAAAAAGGAATGAAATAATGCCATTTCATCAACATGGATGGACCTGGAGATTGTCATATTAAGTGAAGTAAGCCAGAAAGATAAAGAAAAATACCATATGATATCACCTATACATGGAATCAAAAAAAAAAAAAAGACTTAAATGAACTCATTTACAAAACAAACAGACTTACAGACATAGAAAACAAACTTATGGTTACCAGAGGGGGTAGGGGTATGGTGGAGGGATAAATTGGGAGTTCAGGATTTGCAGATACTAAGTACTACATATAAAATACCTAAACAACAAGGTCCTACTGTATAGTACAGGGAATTATATTCAATATCTTGTAACAGTCTAGAGTGGAAAAGTATGTGAAAAGAAATATATATACATGTTTGTATAACTGAATCACTATGCTGTACATCAGAAAGTAACCAACATTGTAAACTGACTATACTTCAATAAAAAAAGTTTTAGTCTAAATAGTTAACATCGTGAAAATGGTCTTTTAATGTGATTGTGTTTACTGCCCCTGAGTTTTATTTCCATCTCTCTAATTTGTTTTATGTTATTTAATGAAAATCCTTGCAGCCTTGCTTAAATCACATTAAGAAATGAGTTTTTCAATTTTCACAAAGTTGCTAATTTTCCACGGTAGCTTAAATACGTTAAACTACTAATGCTTTTCACTCACCATATTATAACCATCTGTCAGGGATGAACTTAAGCTCTAACACATTGAAAGAAATAATTATAATATTTTAAATTACAAAGGCATCTATTCCCATCTATGATGGGAAGCTATATTTCTATATTTCTTTTTATAAACATACTGAGTTTTCAGAGATTACATGAGAAATGCTCATCCTAAAAAGCTGCAGAAAGATGTACAGGAGAATGAGATTGATCTTCTACTGTTCTTGCCTCAGGGATTGTTGGGGGACTTAAGGAAGAAACTTCTCTACGAGGCTAACTTTGTTGACAGTATTATTCTGGGTATGTGTTTGTGTGCATTTGTGGTGGGGAGGGTTGGGAGATGCTCGGATAGAGAATCTCTGAGAGTAGCAATGGAAAGAGAAACACATTTCCAAAAAACCAGGAAGGAAAAACAGATCTTCAGAGTCCTGGAAGAGTACCATCATATTTCATATTTTCATATTACATAATCAAAGAATATCAATTTGACAATAATAATTGCTCATGTGTCTTAAGCATTTGCTATACAACAGGCACGCTGCTAAGAAAGTTACATGAACTGTAACATTTAATTCTTACATAATCCTCTATTATTCCCATTTTTAGATAAGGAAACTGAAACCATAAAAGTGAAAAACGTGTTCATTGTCATACGGTTAATTGAACACTGGAACCAAAGAGATAACTAAGCTTTTGAAATCAATACCTAGAACTAACCATGACGTTCATCTCAGAAAATAGAAATGGAAGCATGGAGACATTATTCATTCTTTCTTTCTTTCTTTCTTTCATTCATTCAGTTATGAAAGAGTCTACAGAGATAGAAAGGGAAATACAGAAGCAAGGGCAGGAGTTAATAGATTATAGTCAGAATTTAGAGGGTCAGGTGCAGAGTTCAGGCGGACTATTTTCCATAGGGAGATAGCACTTCGTCTAAGACAGAAGAAAAGGAAATAAAGATGGTTTGAAAAAGTAAACAAGTTTGTTAGAGAAAGAAATTGATAATTTAAGAAACGAGGTTTACAGGTAAAAAAAAAAAAAAGAACACCATAAAGTGGTGATTTGTCCCTGTTTTGATGATTGAATATTCAGCACAGTTTATCATGTGCCACTTAACTTTGTAACCTCCCTCCTCCTAGGCACATGGAAAGTAAAATTTTACCACATATAAAACATGTAAGTGAACATGCTTAAATATGTTTTAATTCATAATATATATCAACCAAAGTTAGGAAACAACTGAAATAACATATATTAAAACAAAACCACTACATAATTGAAAAAAGTTGTTCTTATAGGCATATATTAGTAGGATTGACTAGACCTACATCAAATTTCAAAATTTACTTAGCATTGCCTAAAAAATTTTCTATTCCAAATATTAAAGGGAAAAAGAAAATTAAAAAATTACATAATATGTTTTCAATTATAAAAGAAACTAGTCATTTGAAACAAAAGGTATAAACACTTTAAAATATTTAATTTTTAAAAAATGGACACACTGTGATGCATCCATACAATGGAATGCTATTCAGCAGCAAAAGAAATGAGCTGTTAAGCCATGAAAAGACACAGAAGAACCTTAAATGCACATTGCTAAGTGAAAGATGCCAGTCTGTAAAGGCTACCTACTGTATAATTCCAAATATATGATATTCTGGAGAAGGCAAAACTATGACAGTATAAAGATCAGTGATTGCCAAGGGTTCAGGAGAAAGAGAGTGATGAATAGGTAGAACACAGAACATTTTTAGGGCAGTGAAGCTATTTTATATGACACTGTAATGAGGGCTACATGACACTATGCATTTATCAAAATCCACAAAACTAGAAAACACAAGAGTGATTCTTAATGTAAACTATGGACTTTAGCTGATAATAATGTATCAGTGATGGTTTCATCAACTGTAACAAATGTACTACATTATTAGAATCTGTTAATAATAAGGGAAATTGTGGGGAGAGTGGGTAGGACAGGAGAAGGCATATGGAAACTACTTTCTGTACAACTTTATCATAAAACTAAAACTGTTTTTTTAAGTATATTAATTATTTTTAATAACATCAGGTTTTTTAAACCATATCCTCAGTTAGTAGAATTAAATGTGTTATGTTGATTGACTAATTGACTAGATTATCTATTAACAGTAAAATACACAAAACATATCAAACATCAGTTGTCAAAAAGAAGTAGTATCTAATTGCACATCAAATACATTTTTAAAATCAATTTTAAAAATGAGGCGTCAGCGCTATCTTGCAATAATAAAGATGAACATTTATTTATACACAATAGCCTTATCTATGAATAAGACCTAACTTCATTACAAGTCTATTAATAATATAATAATTTTGGAATCTAATCACGATGTTATTAAATGTTTATAATGGTAGATGTAGTATTTTCGGATCAAATATCATGCTATTCAAGACTGAGCATTTGGAGAAGAGAGCTTGATGGTAAAACTGAATAATCCTAGAACTTTTTATCTCTGTAGATAGAGGTTAATATCATTTAATGAAAATGGATTTAGTAAATTGATTTTTTTATTTTAAAGAAGAAAGTAGTCCTGCATTAGAAACAGCCAGTGGTCAAAACAGATTGAAAAAAACCTATTTCATCAAAAGAAAAATAAATAAGTAAATTGTTATGTGCTATATGAATAGTGTGCTCACTTCTGCGGGACTGGGTCAGAGAGGAATTTACCGAACAATTATACTTGCGTTGCAGCTTGAAGAAAGAGTCTGAGATGACAAAGGCCTGAATGGGGAGGGTAGGAGCAACAAGAGAAAGGAATATCTTGGCAGTAACTAGCATCAAATGTGTACACGGTGAGCCAAGACTGTGTTGTAATCTTTGCCCATAATACTTCCATTAATTCTCACAACAGCTCTACCAAATCTGTAGTGGGATTTTCTTTCTACGATGCAAAAACCAGAATTGTGAGAGTTTAAGGAAAGTATGACTTAACCATATTCATCTCCCACCATTTTTCTATACAATCATTCAAATGCATTATAACTAATTCTTATGCCCTACTGTTTCTATATTCCCCTGCTACAGATGATCTTCCCTTTTCTGCACTATACAAATTCCATAAGACACATCTCTAATTCTTTTCCTCCAGTGCAGCCTTCCCTGAACATTCTATATACATTAATTTCTCTTAAGCAAAGTACTATGCACTTATAAACTTAATCATGTAATTTAACACATAACAATACTTTACGTTGTTATTTCTGATTTTTCCCGTGTAAGTCACCTAATATGATAGAGTTCTGAATGTATGTACTGTTGCAATTGTATTGTCCCTGTTCTTAGGAGCGTATGGGCACTTTGAAGCCTGCTGGCATTTCCTTCAATCAAAGCACACAGCACTGAACTGAGAGAATGGTAAAGTATCCCTCCCCGGAAATTGCACAAAGATACCTAGGCATCACCTATCTTATTAATTTAATAAGTATTAATTTACTATTCTATCATTCTATGTGAAACTCTTACAAATTGTCTTTAGCCCCATGATCATAATCAACCTAACATCTCTCAGGTATCAGACAAAATCTGACACCAAAGAATCGCTTAGTAAATGCTGAATACAGTTTCAATATAACTAACTAAAATGTTCAAAGAAAATTAAAAGAAACTTAAATTTAAACTTTTTTCTAATCT